GGCATCCCATATAAAGTGGAGGAAGATGGGCACAGATCTTAGGCCAGGGCCAATCTTCCTCAGCAAAAAAAGAGGAGGATTGGCAGATGTTAGCACAGGGCTGATCTTCCTCACAAATAAAATAATAATAATAAGATCTTATGTGTGTATGTTTTTAAGCAGTATATTTCTCCCTTAGTAGGTAAATACTATGAAATACCAAAGAGAGTTTAAATATAATAGGTATAAACATTATTTCACTTTAAATAATTTACCAATTTACTTTCAGATCTTTGATGCTTTTAAATCGCGACTTCATGATTCCAATAGTAAAGTAAATCTGGTGGCTCTAGAAACAATGCACAAAATGATTCCTTTGCTTAGAGACAGCTTGTCTCCTATAATCAACATGCTAATTCCAGCGATAGTAGATAACAATCTGAATTCCAAGAATCCAGGCATCTATGCTGCTGCCACAAGTGTTGTTCAGGCACTGAGTCAGCATGTAGGTAAGAAATCTTACTTTGGCACTCAAATTATTTCACCTTTACTTTCATACTTTGTGATTCTACATGTTTTTTATAATGCTGAAATCCTAGCTATTCAATTTTTGTCATTTAATGTGATAAAATTTTTTCATTTTCTCAGTAGTATTTTTAATCGTTTCTGGTGCTTAAATATTATCCCATTAAATTGACTTTCTCTTCCCTTATCTTTGACTTTTCAATTTTTTTTCTACCTCAGCCTCACATCTGATACAAAATTAACTCAAAATGGATCATAGATTCAAATGTAAAACTTTTAGGAGATAACATATAAGAAAATCCTCTTTTCTTTGGGCTTGGTGAAGAGTTATTAGCATGACAGTAAAAGCATGATCCATAAAAGTCAATAAATTGGACTTCATCAAAATTAAAAACATTTGCCCTGCAAGAGACCTTATTAAGTGGATAAAGAGACAAACCACAGATTGGGAGAAAATATTTGCAAACCACGTATCTGACAAAGATTCATATCTAGAATATATAAAGAACTCTCAAAACTCAACATTAAACAAAAATTCCAATTAGAAAATGGGCAAAAGACATGAATAAACATTTCACCGGAGAGGATCTATGGATGGCAAATAAACACGTGAAAAGATGTTCAACATCACTAGTCATTAGGAAAATGCCAATGCAAATTAATACCATGATCACTACACAAGTGTGTTAGCCTTTTCAGGCTGTTATAACAAACTACCAGCGACTGGTGGCTTAAAAACAACACACATTTATCTCTCACAGTTCTGGAGGCTGGGAAGTCCAAAATCAAGGAGCCAGCAGATTCAGTGTCTGGTGAGGGCCTACTTCCTGGTTCACAGAAGGCCATCTTCTGGTTGTGTCCTCACATGGTGGAAGGGGCAAGGGAGCTCTCTGGGGTCTTTTATAAGGGCACTAATCCCATTCATGAGGGCTCCACCCTCATGACCTAATCACCTTCCAAAGGCCTCACCTCTAAATACCGTCACACTGGGGATTGGATTTCAACATATGAATTTTGGGGGGACACAAATATTCAGTCTATAGCAAGTATCAGAACAGCTAAAATTAAAAAATAGTGACAACACTGAATGCTAACAAGGTTGCAGAGAAACTGAATCTCTCATACATTGCTGGTGAGAATATAAAATAATATGGTATAGCCACTCTAGAAGATAGTTTGGCAGTTTCTTAAAAAACTAAACATGCACTTAGATATAGCAGATCAGTTGTATTCCCTGGCATTTATCCCAGAGAAATGAAAACTTACGTCCATGAAAAAACCTGTACATGATTGTTCATAGCAGCTTTATTTGTAACAGCCAAAAACTGCAAACAACCTAGATGTAATTCAATGGGTTAATCATGAAAAAAACTGTGATACATCCATAGTGTAGAATACTGCTTAGCAATCAAAAGGAATAACGATTGATACACACAACAGTTTGGATGGATCTCAGGGGCATTATGCTGAGTGGAAAAAGCTGGTCCCCAAAGATCTCATGCTGTAGAATTTCATTTGTATAACCTTCTCAAAATGACAGAATTACAGAGCTGGAAAACAGATTAGTGGTTGTCAGGGTTTAGGGCGGTTCAGGAGGAGGGACCAGATGTGACTACAAAGGGGCAGCACTGCAGAGGCCTTTGTGGTGATGGAATAGTTCTGTGTCTTATTGCAGTGCTGGTTACACAAATCTACACGTGATAAAGTGACACAGAACTATATATACAGGGCCGGCCCTGTGGCTTGGTGGTTGAGTGC